AGGTTATTAGGCTTACTGCCTAAGGGAGGTAAAGCCGAAAAGAGTTCTGCTTAGCAAGTTGCCAATGGTACACAACTATTACAAATAGCTGGCCTTGGTTTAAAAGTACACTACTAGCCTGTGAGAGGTAATGAAGGTATGTGAAGGTAGTTGACTGTCTAGCCTACCAAATCTGCCTGTGGCAGAGATTAAAGATACTTCAAAGTATTATTGAGTGGAGAAGATCGTATGATGCTGTTTTTGGCTATCATAAACACCAACCTTCTCTTCCCTGAATAACTGAGCTGATACATTTTGTAAAAGAAGATTTACAAAGTGTTTGTCGCCACCAGTAGGTCATTGAGTGTTTGGGTGCACAAAGCAATTCACCAGTAGAAAGGCTAGGATGGTCTGAGAAATCCAACAGCTCCAGAGGGGCTCATTGATACATATTCTAGAGAACAAATCCACCCAATGTGAAACCATCATTTGGCTTTGTAATGGCTCTGGCCGTTAGCCAGAATTGGGAATTTTACTATAGTATTATCTCTACTGTGGTCCCAGAGATCTGTAACAAGACAATATGTGGCTAAGATTAACAACGGTATATGATCTCCTTTCTGCCTGATACAGGTACATCACACAACAAGGGAACAAGCTGGAGACGGCCAAGTCTCGTGTGCCTACTACTGTCACAAATGCTGTGTCTTGGAGGTCAGAGGGTCTCAAGTACAAGAAGAATGAGGTCTTCATAGATGTCATAGAGTCTGTTAACCTGCTTGTAAGTGCCTTTGGTATAAACTCTCTCTTTTGCAAGTTCTTTTTCTGCATGTCCATTATAACTGCACTTAATCCATTAGTATTTACGATCATGGTGTAGAGGGTGATGACCGTTCTGACGATGCATGTGAACTGCTTTGGTATGCATTGTGTTTCTTTGGATGTAGCAGGTCTTTAATAACCTCTTCGATAACATGACTCCCCTACCTGAACTTGCAAATATTTCCTCACCCACTACTATAAAGAAGTTTTTTTTTAATGCTTCCTTCATCCTTATTGGTACTTGTTGTGTTGATGGAAGATTCCCAATGAAATCTTAGCAGGTTTAATTTTCTTCATGAATTTTACTTTGAATTGACCGTACTAGCTGGTTATGAATTGCCAAGTTTTTATCAATGGTGTTCTAATTCCACTACTGCTCCTAAACCGTTTAAAGATTCAACCCTTTCGCTGTCAAACATTTTTGCATTTTTTGCACATGTTTAAAAAATCATTTTAGGCCTGAAGATTGCACATCAAACCCCCAAACATGATATATTTTCTGAAAGCAGATACCCTAGAGAATAAAATTGTGGTAGTTCCAATGTTTTTGTGTCACACGATATTACCTCAAAGGTGAATTTTAGGGCAAACAAACGCAATAAATTACATTTTTGGTAAAATATAAAAGCTTGGAAGTAAATAGATGAATCTATTCCATCAACAATTGGCTTACCTGGAGGATTACTCAGGCTTTTATGAATCTTGGGTAAATAGTAGAAAGTAGGAACCCTGCAACTAGATGGTAATAAATACTTGGCTTCTTTGTTGTCATCTATTCCGCTTTTTTTAGCTTCTTTTACTAAGATATTCAATTCCCTCTTAAAATCTTTAGTTGGATTCCTATTTAATTTCTCATATGTGGTTGTATCTCACAAAATTCTAATAATTTCTATGTCACAATCCTGCCTGGCCAATACCATTACTTCACCCCCTTTATTGGCTGGGGATATGATTATCTGTTTCTTCTTTTCTAAACTTTTCAATCCTGTAGTGATAGTAGCTTTGGTATTGGGTCCCAGTAGGGAGGCAAAATATCTTTTGATGTTCAATTTCCTAGAATATTTATTAAGATCAATGTAGGTGTTAAATGTATTCAAACTATCTTTAGAAGCAAATTTTAAACCCAAGTCTAGAACTTTGGTCTCCTCCTTAGATAAAGAGACTGAACATAGGTTATAAATCTCCTCCCCTATCACTCTCTCCTTCTTTTCTTGTTGTTTCCTGCTCCCCCCTACATCCTCTATGTGTCAGTGTGTGGGAGCTCCCCTGAATCTCCTCTTTCCTCCCTGTGATAGTATGCATCCCTTTGAGGTCTTTCTGGACAATTGGGATGGTTCCTTGGGGTTCCTGACTGATGACAATAATTGTATGTCAGGGTCCTTGTGTGTGGGAGTCCTTGCTTGATACCCCTGATTGTACATAGGGGTTCTTGGGGGATAGCCCGGAGGTCTCCCCTGACAGTTTCTCCAACTGCCTATGAGGAAGTCGATTGAATGACGAAACTCGTCAGGTGGATGTGGCGTCAGACGCAACCGGAAGTACCACGTCAACCATTTTGGAATTGGTTGGAATAGGCTGTTTGTATCAAAGATTCATGTAAGCACAATTTTTACTATTGAATTGATCTTTCAAATACTGCTGCACTATGGGCGTGTATGTTTACATTTTCCATGATCACTGAGAGTATATGAAGAATCGGGGAGGATAGAATGGATTTTGAGCACATTGATCATTGATTACAGAAAGGCAATTTAAAAGACATGTAGGGTAAGGTGCATGCCTGAAGGAGAAGGGATCAAGTGTTAATTTGTTTTTGGACACTGGTGGTGGATGAAGTATGGTCACAAGTATATTTCGATGTCATTCACAGTAAAGAGCGTGAAATGCATGTTTTCACCCTATGAGGGTAAGAGTATTTAGTGTAATTAGTGGTGGACACTATTTGTACAACATTTTCAATTGTGCACGGGTATATATGTAGCACATTTTATTTAGAATTACTACGCTATATTAGGTTTTTTTTTGCTTTGGAGATGGGGATCAGCTGATTGGAAGATCAAAGGAGAGAGAGAGACCCCATGGTATACAACGCATTCTGGCTAAGGAGATTCTGGTGAGAAGATAGGAGGATCGGTCAAGGACAGTAGTGCGCTGTTGTTTACATACATGTCAAACCTTAAATTGGTTTGTGCCCATGAAATGGCAACAAACTTCGGTACCCTATATTTTCTATAGGGTGTGCTTCAAAAGCCCCCTGTGGGTCATCAGTTTAGTTATGGAGAAGGTCTTGTGCTAGAATTATTGCTCTCACTTCGGTATGCAATTCACGATTAGGCACCCCGACGTGTGCATTTATGTTTGTATGTGCATATATTGGGGGGTGGGGGTCCTCCAAATTTTTTGGGGAGCGGATGCCATATGCTTGGGTGTACCTCCTTTTTTTATTTTTTTTTTGCAATTAAAAAACTTTTTTTTTTTGCGTAACTTTTTTTTTATTACTTTAGGGACAGAAAGTTCCCTATGTGAACATTTTTTGGTGACAGGTTCTCTTTAATGACACATTCAGGATCTGAAAGACCCTGTAAGTCTCCTCTGGACTCAGCCTTCGGATTGTGTGTAAAACCCCGATGTACGGACCTGGCAGCGAACGGGTTAAGGGTGGTGTAATCAAGTGATCCGAGTGTATCTAAAGCCAATATTTTTTTCAGTTTTGGATGAAGTAAAAAAGTGTTAGAATCTCCAGCAGTTTTTTTTGCTTTTTATTGTCTGTGTTCTGCTGGACAGATTTACCCTCCCTATTTGACCTGGTGACCATTGTCAGTGGAACATCTAGGGATCCAACTGGTAACACTTCTGTCCTACGTAGGCAATATTCACTCACTGTACTATATCTATGGAGGAGCAGCATTGTCACCCTAGAACAGTGGTCTCCAAACTGCAACCCACGGGCCGGATGTGGCCCTTTGCTTAATTTTATCTGGCCCTTGGGGCATTTTTCTCTCACTGTCAGCAATAGTGGGGCATAGTTCCTGCCACTGACACCAACAATGGGGCACTATTCCTCCCACTGGCACCAATGATGGGGCACTATTCCTCCCCACTGACACCAACAATGGGGCACTATTCCTCCCACTGACACCAATGATGGGGCACTATTCCTTCCACTGATACCAATAGTGTGACACTATTCCTTCCACTGCCACCGGTCATAGGACATTTTTTACTGCCACTGACATTCTATTCCTGCTGTCCACAGTCTGGCTCCCCTAAAGATTGAAGGACAGTAAACTGGCTCTTTGTTTAGAAAGTTTGGAGACCCCTGTCCTAGGATATAAAGTGTGTTAGGACTACATAACGATTCCTCCTCTCCTGATCTCCATAACATAGAGGGGAAGTGTCTTGGGTAGATGAAAAAGTAATTTTATTCACCAAATCCCCAGCACCCAGACAGCCAGGAGTTTACTCTCCTACATTTCAGTGGTGGACTGTCCTTCAGTGTCCTCACATCCAATGCAAGGCTTTAGACCCAGCATTGTATTCAGTGACCTCAGAGGAACTGCAGCAGCATAAGGGAGAAAATGCTGTGGGCAAATAAAAATATAAAAATGTGGGCAACGACATGGAAAATGATGTTTAATGTTGAAAATTGTCAAGTAATGCACTTGGGGGCTAAAAATATGACTGCTAGTTACTAGATTGAAGATGAACCTCTGTGGGAATCCTGGATAGAAAAAGATCTGGGGGTCCTAGTGGATGACAGACTCAGCAACGGCATGCAATGCCAAGCTGCAGCAAGCAAAGCTTGCAGAATCTTAGTGTGCATAAAAAAGGGTATTTACTCAAGAGATAAAACTATAATCCTGCCGCTTTATAAAACTCTGGTCCAGCCACATCTGGAGTATGCTGTCCAGTTCTGGTCACCAGTCCCCAGGAAGGATGTGCTAGAACTGGAGAGACTCTAGAAAAAGGCAACAAAGTTAATAAGGGTACTGGAGGACGTCAGTTACAAGGAACGACTACAAACAGTTAACTTATTCTCCCTGGAGAAGAGACACATGGGAGGAGATATGATAGCGATATAAAAATAGTGATAGTGATTCTAGTTTAGGAAATAAACTGTTCAGTCTCAGGGAATATAAGAAGACACAGGGTCACTCAATGAAATTGGAGGAGAAGTGGTTTAGCCTTAAACTGCGTAGGGATAAGGGTGTGGAACTCACTTCCACAATTGGTGGTGGTGTCAGTGGGAAGTATTGATAGTTTCAAAAATCTTAGATGAGCATCTTAGTGAGCACACTATACAGGGATATGGGATATGATCTTTGACATGAGCATGCACACACCCACATAGCATGGACTGGTGACTTTTTTCAACCTTGCCAACTATGTAACTATGCAAGGTCTAGCAAGGCAGAGGAGCTTGCTCATGTGGAGGGTCAAGTAAGTAAAAGTGCTTTTTTTTCTGGCATCCTAGACATAAACTGAAATTTAACCCCTTGCTGTGCGGGGTCATTCCCACTGCAAAGGAGGATTTTTGTTTTCCCTAGAGTTCAGCATTAATAGTAGATTTATTCCTATTTTGTCTCTCTAAGACAGGAAGTGAAATAAATCTCAAATTTGGGAAAACGATATTTGCATATGGAAATAGCAAAAATACAGAAGTATAGTTTCCAACATTATAAATTAGTATGGCTTGTAGTGTGGCATGTAACTTGGTTTTTTATATTTTGGACAAAATAGGGCCTGGGGTACACTGAAAAGAAAGTGGAGGAAAAACAAGCCCCAGCATTGATGTCAGTGGCAGTAATAGCATATCTAGCACAGATGTTAGTGGGAGCAAAAATATACTATCATTGGTGGTCAATGGAAGACATTAATAGTAAACTGCCCAGTATGGAGGTCAGTGGTAGGCAGTAATATTGAGCCCCCATATGGAGGCCAGTGGCAGGCAGTAATTTTAAACCCCCAGTATGGAGGTCAGTGGCAGGCAGTAATATTGAGCCCCCAGTATGGAAGTCAGTTGTAGGCAGATATTGTAAATCCCCTCCCCACTGGTAATTAGTGCAGACACTAAAGCACACCAGAGAAGATGCAATTTTTTTTGTTCACCAAGCTGGTTGAAAAAAAAAAGGATTTGATTCCCCTATCAACACCAAGTGTGTTTATGGGAGAATCAAATTTTTTTTTCTTTCAGTCCTCCCACTGAGCCTTTGTATTCTCACAACGTCATCAGAATACATTGATCAGTATTTCTGGCTGTAGCTGGCAGCACTGATCAAGCGATAAAAAAAAAAATTAAACCGACAGGCTGGTTGTAATTCAAGAGATTGACTTCTGTACAACCAGCCTGCCCATAGATGGATGAAAGTTTGGCCAGTCCCTGCTGAACCAACCGAATTTCTATCCATCTATGACTGGCTTAAGAATTGGAAGTCGGTGGCAGACAGTAGGAGTAAGCCCTCCAGTATTGCTTACTATTATTATAATTAATAATAATCCCCTTCCAACATTGCTGGTCAGTGGTTCAATTACCTGAAAACAAGCCCCCGTGCTGTACTCTCTCTTCCACTCAGCCAGGACGCCTTTTGTCAGGCAGAGATCATTCTAACAGTTCAGGCTGCTTCCAGCACCTGGCAGCCCTCTTCCACTGCATGGCAAGCATGCTTCAAGTGGTAGTGCCCAGTTGCCCAGTGCCATTGGACATGAACCACTTCTATTGGGCTAATATACTAAAACTAGAGCGTGCAGAATCTGGTGCAGGTGTGCTTGGTAGCCAGTCAGCTTCTAACTTCAGCTTCTTCAATTAAGCTCTGACAAAAAAAAATGTGGAAGCTGGTTGGTTTCTATGTGGTTTGCACCAGATTTTGCACTCTCCAGTTTTGGTAAATAAACCCCTATGTGTATTAAACTAGTTACAAAGGTGTATAGTTTTGTCGTCTTTGTCATGTATTATTATTTATTTCAGGTGAACAGTAATGGCAGTGTACTTCTGAGTGAGATAGTAGGCAGCGTCAAGCTGAAAGTCTACCTCTCTGGAATGCCCGAGTTAAGGCTTGGACTGAATGATCGGGTCCTATTTGAATTAACAGGACGTAAGTATCAATCACTGGGGGTGGGAGAGATTTTTACATTTATTTTCATCTGTCTGATTCAATAATGCAGAAATGCACAGTAACAGTATTTTTCTAATCTTGTTCAAATGGCTGTAAAGGATTTTGAAGCATTCATTGAATGTAGAAGAAAATATTCTAATCTTGCTTGTTATTGGGGAGGAACTGTAGACACTATTATCCACTGCTGACATAAATGTGCAAGGTGACTACTCTGACCATTGCTAAGTGGCCTTGCAGCTCTGGTTCCTGGGCTGCAGGGCACTTTCTGCATGGACTTTAAGATGTTCTCTTCTTGTAAATGTGCCTTTCCTCATTGGACTAAGTTCTTGTCCCATAAGCTTGCTGGCAGGACTCCTGCCTTTAGGCCTACAACGGGCTAGAGATCACGTTACTGGCAACAGCGTGCTACTGACAGGATTGCTAGAAAGGTCAAACTGCTCACCACTTTCTATGGTATATCTCTCTCATGGGCAAAGCTCAAGTTTGCATTAAAGTATAACTTAATCCAAGAAAAAAAAAATTCCAGAGGAAATTTCACTTCATTTTGTGTCCATATCATGGTGAAGACTAGAATGTTTTGAAGGCCTCTCTTGAACCTCCTGCCCAACTCTCCTGAAGGTGGAGAAAGAGCGTGTAAGGGCAAGGAGTGGCATAAGTGCCAGAATAGCTAGCCGGTGAAGTCCACTCTGTAAGTGGGTAGAGCTGGTAGTCACAGTCCTTGGAACAGGGTGCAGGAGCAGCTTTGCACCAGGGCAGACGACGGATGCAGGACCAGAAGACAGGCAGCGGTAGGCAACAACTAGACAGGGGGCGAGGGACCGAATCGGCAGGCAAAGCAAGTCCAGGAGGCAGGCCAAAGTCAGTAACAGTTGAGCAAAGCAGTACAGAATCAGCAGGCAAAGACAAACCAGGCAAACAGACCAGGGTCAGTGTAATCAGGCGAACAGAGCGGAGACAGGAGCAAAAGGGAGGTTCAAAGGCAAGCCAGGCTATAAACAGATAAACTGGTTACAGCGCTGAGTAAACCCTTTGGCGCTATATAAACTCAATGTAATAATACAGTGGATCAGGTCTCGGGAAACAAGCTGAAGAGTATTATTATTATACAGTATTTATAAAGCGCCAATGGTTCGCTCAGCGCTGTACATTACAAAGGGGGACAGAACATGTGACAGAACAATAACAATACAATGCAAAACATGAGGGGATCGAGGGCCCTGCTCTTTCGAGCTTACAATCTAGGAGGGAGGGGATAGTGGTACAGGAGGAGATAGCTCTGGGGGATGGAGTGGTAGGAAGAGTGGAGGAGGTCGGCAGGTTCGCAGGGGGTGGGGTAGGCTTCCCTGAAGAGATGGGTTTTCAGGGTGCGCCTAAAGGAGAGGAGAGTAGGTGATAATCTGATGGGTTGGGGCAGGGAGTTCCAGAGGATGGGTGACACCCTGGAGAAGTCCTGGAGGCGGGCATGGGAGGAGGAGACCAGGGAACTAGAGAGAAGGAGGTCTTGTGAGGAGCGGAGTGTGCGTGCTGGGCAGTACTTGGATATTAGGTCAGTGATGTAGTACGAGGCAGTATGGTGGACAGCTTTGTACGTCAGTGTTAGGATTTTGAATTTGATCCGTTGCGCAATCGGAAGCCAGTGGAGGGATTGGCAGAGGTTGGTGGCGAAAATGGAGCAGTTGAAAGGTGAATGAGTCTGGCAGCCGTATTCAGGATCGACTGAAGCGGGGATAGCCAACGGCGAGGCAGGCCAATGAGGAGGGAGTTGCAGTAGTCGAGTCGTGATATAATGAGGGAGTGGATGAGCTGTTTATTGTTTTCTGGGTTTAGGGACGTGCATATTTTGGCGATGTTGCGGAGGTGGAGTCTGCACAAGTTTGTTAAAGATTGGACTTGGGGCTGGAAGGATAGGTTGGAGTCCAGAATGACACCAAGTACTCTGGCGGGGCGGGTTTGATGGTGGCGTTGTTGGATGTGACGGAGAAGTCAATGGGGGGTGGTGTCCGGGCTGGGGGGAAGACAAGAAACTCGGTTTTGGAGAGGTTCAGTTTAAGGAAGTGGAGCGACATCCAGTCTGATATGTCGCTCAGTAGGTGTGTGATTCGGGCGGAGACCGAGGGGGTGAGGTGGGGGGTTGAGAGATAGATTTGTGTGTCGTCGGCATAGAGGTGGTAGTTGAAGCCGTGAGAGTGTATGAGTTGGCCAAGGGAGGAGGTGTAGATGGAGAAGAGAAGGGGCCCGAGTACAGAGCCTTGAGGGACCCCAACAGAGAGGGGGAGTGAGGGGGAGGTGGTAGCATTATAGGTAATGCTGAAAGAGCGTTGTGACAGGTAGGATGAGAGCCAGGAGAGAGCAGAATCTCTGAGGCCGAAGGAGTGTAGTTTTTTGAGGAGGAGGGTGTCAGGAATGGACTCGCCAATAGTGTTGGGACTCACCTGCCTTGTGGTTTGCAGTACCAGGACTGGCCAGCGGGTGCTCTCAGCAACCAGAGGCTCACTTCTGCAGTCAGCCAAAACACCTGAGGCTGATTGCAGGAGGTGCATATAAGGAATGGCCAGACTTGCAAGCAGGGCCTTGGTGTATGTTTCCCAAGAGCCCCTGTACCTGCATCCTGTCTGCTTCCTGTCTGATCCTGCTTGATCCCTGACTTTGATTGAACTCCGCCTGTCCTGACCTCTGCTATTCCTGACCACTCTCCAGTCTGCTCCTTTGTACCTTGTCTGCCTGATTGTTCCTGACCCGCCCGTCTGACTACGCTCTGCCTGCTCCTTTGTACCTTGCCTGCCCATTTGCTACCGACCCGGCCTGCCCGACTACGCTTAGTATTGTTCTTTTGTTATCTGTTGGGGGTTTTGGTTTGGTTTGTTTGCACTGTGTTTATGTTTAGTCTTGCACTGCGTTTATGAATTGTTTAGTCTTAAATAAATTATATTGCTTATACTATATCTGAAGCCTGTGTTTCCCTGAGTCAGTCCACACACCTCTGGTCATACCCGGAGCCCTGACAGAGGTGGTGGTCGACTGTGTCGAAGGCCTCAGAGAGGTCAAGGAGTAGGAGCACTGAATAATGGACATTAGCTTTGGTGGTTAGCAGGTCCTTGGAGAGTTTGAGTAAGGCAGTTTCGGTGGAGTGTAGGGGACGGAAGCCGGA